CTGTATGCCCGAGCATGGTAGCAGTAGTAATTCAACTTGAAATGACTCTGAGAAGCGGGAACAGTTGATAGCCCTAAATTAGTTTTTGCACATTAAACTAGACGTTCTAGGCAATAGAAGAAAAAATGATAAATGGGCAGCCTACTCTAATTAGAATTCTAAAGCATTTAAGAGAACAAGTGAGAAATTGCTAGTTTATAAGAAATTAATAAGTGTTTTGGAAACTACCAAAAAAGAAAGAAATGAACCCAGAAGTCAGCCATTTCGGATAAAAGCGGAAGTACCTAAAGCTCATATAAGTTTGGTCCCCAGGCCTCCTTCCCTATCTGCCTAATTTTTAACTAACCAGCTCCTGGTCTCCAGAAGTCCATTGCAGAGTTAGAGCGAGAATCATGACGTCCCTGAGGCAGCGTTGGGAAAGGAGGAAATGGATGGAACACAAAGTCACTGTCCTGAGAAAGCAAAATTACAAGCAAGAGATCCCTGCCTGGGACAAAAGCCATTCCGACTCTAAGCAAATGATTGCAAAAATGGGAAAGCGCTTTGATATTCTTGCAGTGGCAAGATGGCAAGAGCAAAGATGAAGGAAAAGCAGCTTTCTGCTGCAGCCTGGAAGAAGACAGAGGCCACTGGTGCCACACCCTTCTCCCCGGGTCCTTCCTCAGCAGAAACCAGCCCTGGAGGTGGGCAAACTCGCTGGCTGATTGAAAACCGGATTGTGTGCCTTCTAAGACCTGCAACATCCCGTTACAAGGAGGCCCACCCACACGTCAGTCCTGTCACTCAGTAGTCGTTTGATACTGAGAGCCTCCTCTGTGGCTGTGGTATTGCAGGCTGCAGTTGGAAGGGAGCAGGGCTGTGCAGCGGTTCTGATTAGTCTAAAAGCGCGCTGACACAAAAGCTATGTTACAGCAACGTAAGCCATCGACCTGAAACTAATTGTATATATTACCTAACTCGATACAGACCTGGTTCGTGAAAGCTGCTGGCAAGCTTTACAATATTAACATTTTTCATTTTCCTTCATCATAATTATAGCTTTGAATGTTACTCCTATTTAAAAGGACCTCTGCCGCATCAATTTCTTCTGTATTGTCCTTTGCAAAACAGAACTTGGAAAACTTGCATGCTTCAAACATGACTTGATGGGCTCCAAAAGATCTGAATGACTATGCAAACTTGAACTTGGCCTTAAACCCGTTTCCTCTTTAGCAGTAGATTTTTATGAGGGTGGTATTTGCCCATTCTGGGACATCATGTGTGACTTCAGAGCATGACAGCTTTCCCCAACGCCAGTGCTCTTCAGTGTTGGGGCAGCTTTCTTTTTTTGAAGACGAGAATGCGCCAACGGCTGCATTCATTTTGGTGCTGTTTTTGCAAAGACCATCGTTTTGGAGGGCCAAATCCTTGCACAGCTCTGGGGACTTGACATGACCGGGGTCACAAGGGAATGAAGACAAGACAGACACACAGACGTGCAGAAACACTTGGATCAAGTGGTCTGAGCTCTCTGCCAGAGAAACTGCAGCACCTGGAAGCCCAGTGTGTTTGTTATATGCAGTGGAATAGAAAGATGAGGTTATTGCATGGATTTGAACAAGAAGGTGGGGTTATTCTATACAATTAAACACAGAGGTAGGGTTTATGACATCCAGCTGGGAAAGAGGACAAGTTTAGCTACATTTAGGAGCAATCTCTGTATGGGAGCAATCTTCAAGCTGGAAACATGGTAGACGCTTTCTGCACGTACTGTCAAGATTTGCCCTCAGGCCAGGAGGAAAGGCTTTTCCACTTCCCTGAGTCTCATTTGGGAAAGGCTTTGTCATTTTTCCAGTGGTCTAAGGTGTGGGTCCTTGACATGGCTGGCTCAAGTCAATAACATGCATCCATTTAGAACTTCACACACTGGGGACTTCCTCCACTCCCCACACTGCACAACCTTTTATATAAACTCCACATGCTCAAAAGTAGACAATGTGCCAACCAGAAGCACAGGACATCCTACACATTCTCTGTATGTCATTACTGCTCCTGTAGAATAGCTTATAATCTTGAGCTTATTAAAATGCCAAACTGAAATCTCTATTCTGCCTGCTGCAGAATTATACTCTTTGGCTGTTGCTAATATTCACGACTTCGGTGGCCTTGTTCAAAAATACTACTTTGCTTAGGCTTATCTTTTGTTCTGTGCAAAACATTTATTTTTGACTTTTATGAAAATTGTACTTCATGTAATTTCTATATAGTTCTTTTTACTACCACATTCAACTCTGAGGACACTAAAGTAAAAGGCTTGCTTTCTCTGCCTTCTGCTTTCTTCTCAACCTCCTTCTTCTCTCTGCTTTGGTGTCTCATGGTATTGGGCTGTTCCACTTACAGGAAAGCAGAGGTGTCTACTAGCTTTACTCTTAAAGTTTGCTTAAATGAAAGTTATTTATGAAAAATATGACATGCAAATGACCAACAAAGATAAAAAGATGGTCAACTTCACTAGCCATAAGAAAAGTCTAGATCAAAACTATTTTGATAGTCCATCTTACCACAGTTAGAACAGAAGCCATTTTTACAAATACATTCTGGTGCAGGTATGGACAAAACGGACCCTTCTCTACAGATGATAAGTGTGTAAACTAGAGTGTTCTCAAAAATGAGCAATAAACCTTCCATATGACCCAGTGTTGTGTAACAGTTTTCTCCAAACTGGAAACCCTCCATCTTGGAAGAAAATTTCTTACGACTTAGGATGTAAAGGAAATGTGATAAGACAAGATATTTTAGGACAGATTCTTTACAAAGAGGTAGGACATCCTGGGAAAGCTCATTAAGATAGGAAGTAAACAATTTTAAATAACCTTAGGAAGTCCCTGAAACTGATTCACTAGATCCCTTACTTTCTGTTCTAGTTAGGGTTTTTATTGGTGTAATTAAACAACCTGACTAACAGCAACTTGGGGAGGAAATGGTTTCTTTCATCTTAACACTTTGAAATCATAGTCCATCATCTAGAGAAGTCAGGGCAGGAACTGAAGCAGAGGCCATGGAGGCACACTCCGTTCTCATGGCTTACTCAGCCTGCTGTCCTATTGCTTCCAGGACCAGCCGAAGAGTAGTACCTTCCACAGTGAGCTGAGCCCTCCCACATCAGTTATCGCTCAAGAAAATTTAACACGGGCTTACCCACAGGCCAATATGATAGTGCATTTTCTCAACTGAGGTCCCCTCTTCTAAAATGACTCTGCTTGAGACAAGTTGATGTAAAAATAGCCAGCACACTTCCTAAGAGAATATAAGCAATAAAGAATGCTATGGGTCACTCTAAGACAAAACAAGCTGGAAAAAAAAAAAGACTCCCAGACCAGCTGAGTTGTTTGTCAGAAGTTCGGAACAAAAATCCAAGGAGCCGCTCAAAACAACTGAGGCACCAGGAAAAGACATCTTCCCACCTGTTAACCTGTACTGAATATGCAGCGTGTTCCAAGTTTCCAGCTTTCATGAGCTCTCGCCCCTGCTAGGGCAGGCTGTGTGGTGTGGCTGTCTTTGAGTCATCCCTGCGCCTGTAAGAGACCCCTAGCCCATACTCTTGTAAGTACCCTCAGTAGAACTCGTTGGTTCACCAAGTTGTTCTTTGGTGGTGTCTGTACTTTAGTCTGTCATTGGTTCCCAGTCTATAGTGAATAGATGATTGTTCATGTCCCTGCAAAAACTGCATCTCCCAACACCCAGCTCTACTGCCCCTTGGTGTGTGTCCAAGTCAACACATCACGGAAATACTTAAGCATCAATGTTTGTTGCAGAACGGGCCGCGATAGCTAAATTACAGAACATGTTCAACAACAAGTGAATGGATAAGGAAATGGTATATGGCTGGATATTTTTCAGCCATAAAGAAGAATAAAATGGGAAAACAGATACAACTGAAGATAAGCAGAGTAAATGAATTAAACCTATCTCAAAAAGACAAATGTTGAGCGTTATCTGTCATTGTACTTGCTAGATTTTACATATATACATAAAATTATGCATATATGTATGTATATAGAGAAAGACACTGTCTTACATACGTACATAAAATTATATGTGTGTGTGTCAATAAACACATAAAATTATATATATACACATTTATATAAAGATACTATCTTAAATACATACATACATACATAAAATTATATGTGTCTTAAATATATAAAATTATATATATGTACACATATAGAAGGACATATATATAAGATATATATCTTACATATATAAAATTATATATGTGTGTTACATAAATACATAAAAATTATATAATATATGTATGTATATATATATATATATGTGTGTGTGTGTCTATATACACACATACACACACAGATATAGAGAAAGACACTGAGATGCAGCTGTTTCTGTTATAGTTAAGGTTTCTATTGCTGTGATTAAACACTGTGACCAGAAGCAACTTATGGAAGAAAAGTTTACTTCATCTCACAGCTATCACCAAGTCCATCATACAGGAAGGTCAGGACAGGGACTTAAGGCAGGAATGCTGCTTGCTGGCTTGCTCCCCAAAGCACCCAGGACCACCTGCCCGGAGGCAGCACCACCCACAGTGGGCTGGGCCCTCCCAAGTCAATAACTAATTTAGAAAACCACAAATGACTCTAGCCATGTCAAGTTGACATTAAACTAGCCAACACGGACACACACACATACATACATGGAGGATGGGGATGTTAGGGGGAAATGTTCACCATACAATTTATAATGTACGAAACCTTAATAAGTGAATTAAAACATGGAAAATCCATCAGAAATGTTTAAAGAGTGTGTGAGAACTAAATGACTTCTGGAGAACCCAGTGTTTGTAACCATTTGCTCTCATCTATCCTCTGACCTCACCTCTCCATCACCCTCTTCCTCTAGTCTCTTCTCTAGCGATTCTCAACACCAAAATTTTATATTAGTGGATTTGAGGCCATTCCTCACCTCTGATGCTATAAACCTTGTCAGAAGCCCATGGCTGCCCCCTTGGCAATGGGCAAAGAGACACATTGTTGGTGATACTGTTCTTATATCAGTCAGGGGCAGAGCAGATGGCAGGCCTTTGTTCATTCCAGCTTGATGCCTGTCTTGGTGGTCAAAGCTGTTTTCTGCCTAGGACTCATAAAGAAATCAAATAAAAAATTCTGGGCCCAGGGGTCTTTTCTGAGACCGATACTCCAAACAAGGACCATGTGTGGTGATAACCTAGAACCCCTGCACAGATGTAGCCCATGGCAGCTCAGTCTCCATGTGGGTTCCCTAGTAAGGGGAACAGGGACTGTCTCTGACATGAACTCAGTGGCTGGCTCTTTGATCACCTCCCCCTGATGGGGGGAAACAGCTTTACCAGGACACAGAGGAAGACAATGCAGCCAGTCCTGATGAAACCTGATAGGCTAGAGTCAGATGGAAGGGGAGGGGGACCACCCCTATCAGTGGACTTGGGGAGGGGCATGGAAGAAGAAGAGGGAGGGAGGGTGAGATTGGGAAGGAATGAGGAAGCGGGCTACAGCTGGGATACAAAGTGAATAAACTGTAATTAATTTAAAAAAAAGATTTAAAAAAATGAAATCAAATCCAGGCAGTGTAGTGTGGGAGGAGGAAGACAGATGGAGACCTTCGGACTGCCATGCCACCCACCGACCTGCCGTCCAACTCACAGTGCAGGCGTGCCATAGACACCTGCTTGCCACCATGCCACATAGTGTGGATGGAGGATAACACTGGGAAGCCCACCAGCTGCCTGGCCGGGCTACAGCTACAGCAGGAGCCATCCCAATGTGAGAGTATGTGGTGGTCAGATGGGAAGGAGAAGCGTTGCAGCCTGAGCATTCTGAAGAGAGATGGAACTGGAGACTCAACGGTGGAGAGCAGTAGCCTGGTGTGAGCGACCAGCCCCACCACCTAGGGACATGGTGAGGTCCCAACCTGAGCTGGCACTGAAGGCCTTGTCTGAGTCCATGGCTACCCAGCAGCAGGGGTTGGTGTTGATGTCCACAGCTCATATTACCACTAGAGAACACAGGGATGCCCTGGTCAGGTAACTTCTGAAGACACATGGATGTCCAGGGGCTGTACCAAACTAGCCCCGACCCTCACTGCTACTCTAGAGAGCTGGCAGCAGCACTTGGGAGAGCGGGTCCTGCACCTCACCTGGGAAGTACAGTAGAGCTGACCCTAGAGGGGGAGGTGCCCAGATGAGCTGGCCCAGAGGCAGTGAACAGCAGTATTTTGTTTTCTCCTAGGTCCATGGTCTATCTAGCCTCAGGTTCTTGGCCATCCAAGCAGTATGGGAATGTGTGTGGTCGTGTGTGTGTTTGTACACGTGAGTACATGTGGAAGCCAGAGGTCAACCTCAGATGTCATCTCTCAGGAGCCATCCAATTTTTTAAAACAAGATCTCCCACCGGAACCTGGGGCTGACTGACTAGGCTAGTATCTCAGTTACTTTTCTATTGCTCTGATAAAACATGACCAAAGAAACTTATGAAAGTTTACTTGGAGCTTACGGTTCTAGAGAGTTAGAGTCCATGACAGCGGGTGGAACTGGCAGGCAGCTGGCAACTAGAGCAGCAGCTGAGAGCTCACATCCTGAACCACAGATAGGGAGCAGAGCGAGCTATTTTGAAATGGCAAGAGTCTTTTGAAAAACCAAGGCCTACTCTAGGAACATACTTCCTCTGGCAAGGCCACACCTCCTGAGCTTCCCCAAACAGCACCAACTGTAGATCAAGTGTTCAAGCACCCAAGACTTATGGGACAACCTTCACAGCTAGGCTTGCTGACCAGTGGAGACTCTGCCTCTGCCTCCACATCACTGGGATTACAGGGACACACCACTGCCCCAGGCCTTTCACATGGTGCTAGGCTTCACTTGCAAGACCTCGTGATTCCACAGAAAGCACCTCACTGATTGAGCTAGACCGCAGACCATACTTTCTAAATCAGTGAATGTTTTCCTGTATTACGTTCAAGAGGATCTGATGCCCTTTCCACCAGGCATGCATATGGTGCACAGATATGCGTGTAAACAATTCATATTCATTTTTAAAATTATATATATAGTCATAGATATAGCCAGAAAATAGTCAGTCTGATTAAAAAATATGATGATACATACTGATGGGCTTTTGGTTGCTTAAAATGCCTATTTACCCTTATCTGGTACTTTTACACTCTTTGGGGCTACTATGGTATTGATTATTTTAACTTTGGGTATAATAAGTTTATTGTATGTCACATGTAAATGATATGTCAAATCAAGGGAAAGAACTCAGACCTAGATCACAAAGGCTGATCACAAATATGATACAAACCCCTCTTCCTTAATAACATTAGTAATTATTTCCCTCCCCCCAACACTAATTTTCTGCCACCTCAGCCTCAACTTCTGATAATCCTAGCACATGACAGAAAAAGAGCCACACTTGAAAGTTTCCACTAGGATGATCGACTGATCCCACCATCTTGATTGTGGAGAACTGGAATGTTGTAGACCTATAGCCTAAACGACCTTGGACTATCTTTAATCCCTTACGAGCCATTTATCACCCACCTTCTGTACTGACCTTACATCCTCTTGAGGATAAGGTAGAATCTTTGGGCTGAATTCACTTGGGGGACCACCAGATCTACTGTTCCAAAGGCTGATGTCTTCTGAAACCTGTGGCGAAGATTTCTCTGCTCTGCTGTGACCTGCTAAATGTTGTCCCCCGATGAATTTATTTAGTAAATATACTTATAAGTACTTTTTTATGTTTATAATCAACTAGCCTGGACTCATGGGGGCTCACAGAGACTGAACCAACAACCAGGTAGCCTGCATGAGTCTGACCTATGCCCTCTGCATATATGTTGTGGTTGTACAGCTTGGTCTTCTTGTGGGACTCCTAACAGTGGAAGCAGGAGCTGTCCCCAATGTTTTTGACTATTTGGGGGCCCTTTTTCCTCCTATGTTCCTGAAGAGACAGGGGAGAAAGTCAGGATAAAACATGTGCAGCAACATGAGAATGCTGAGCCATAACTGTCTACTCATTTTAGTCTAGTGCAGATAAAGATAGATGAGTGTATGTATGTGCAGGCATGGGGTTAACGTTCTAGAGAAGAAATTGTCAGACATCACTGCTTGGCTGGTTCTTTGTCAAGTTGACACAAGCCGGAGTCATTTGGGAAGAAGGACTCTTGAGAAAAGATGGCTCCATTTCATGAGCTTGTACGCAAGCCTGTGGGGCAGTTTTTTATTAATGATTGATGTCAGAAGGCCCAGGCCACGGTTGGTGGTGCCACTCTTGGGAAGGTTGTCCTGGATCATATTAGAAAGCAGGCTGAGCAAGCCATGGTGAGCAAACCAGTAAGCAGCACTCCTCCACGGCCTCTGCTGCCTTCCTGCCTTTTAGGTTCCTGTTTTTTACTTTTCTCCATAATGGACTGTAAACTTTGAGGTGAAATAAATCCCTTCTTCTCCAAATTGCTTTTTGCCATTGTCTTTTGTTTTTTGTTTTGTTTTGTTTTGTTTTTGCTTTTGTTTGCTGGTTTAGTTTGGTTTGGCTTGGTTTAGATTTTTGAGACAGGGTTTCTCTGTGTAGCCTTGGCTGCCTGGACTCACTTTGTAGACCAGGCTGTCCTTGAACTCACAAAGATCCACCTGCTCTACTTCTGATCTATATCCTCACCCCTTTTCCCCTCTTTTCTAGCTGGAGGCAGGGTTTTATGAGCTTGTCCAGGATAGCCTTGGACATGAAATCCCTTTTTCTCAGTCTCCTGAATAGCTGAGATTACAGGTCTGTGACACCAGGTCTAGCTTCTACTTTATAATTTTAACATCCCACCAAAATCCATGTGATGAATGAAGACCGTTCCTTAATGCCTTAATGGTGTTTTTAGATGGAGATTGGATCAGGGGTATTATAAATGGACTGACACACCATGGATTCATAAATTGTCTCACTCTCTTTGGCTCCTGGCCATCATGAGGCGAGCAGTTCCTCCACCATGAGCTTCCTGACATGATGCCTAGCCCCACTACAGGCCCAGAAATAATGGAGCCAACTGAGCATGCATTAAAACCAGGAGCCAAACCTTTCCTGTCTGTTGGTGTCTTGTAACAGAGAGGAAATGCCGGTATAGCATCTGACCTCATATTGCCAAAGTTACAGAAAATTCCCAAGAGCATCCCGGAAACTCTCATAGTCAGGAGGAGGCCAAGACTGCATGACTGACACCATGTGGGTGAAATCCTGGGCTAGGGAAAGAGAGTGGAGGAAGAAGCCGGGGAATTCAACAGAAATGTATCCATATAGGTCCGTTAGCTAGCACAAATATCCAATAGGACTGAATTATTTACCAATAGAAGATGACAGGTGTAGGGCAAGTGGGCCCCCTCTGTTCTCTCTTCCCAAAGTCTCAGTAAATCTAAACCTATTCTTCTGTTACTTTTTATTCTTAAAATCATCTCATAATGTCCCTTCACTACAGAAAGAACTTTGCCCAAAAATTTTTAACACACCCATTACTTCAATCACACTCTTTTTTAATTTTTATTTTTTTATTTTTATTAATTACACTTTATTCACTTTGTATCCCCCCCATAAGCCCCTCCCTCCTCCCCTCCTAATCCCACCCTCTCATCCCCTTCTTCACGCATGCCCCTCCCCAAGTCTACTGATAGGGGAGGTCCTCCTCTCCTTCCTTCTGATCTTAGTCTATCAGATCTCATCAGGAGTGGCTGCATTGTCATCTTCTGTGGCCAGATAAGGCTGCTCCCCCCTCAGGGGGAGGTGATCAAAGAGCAGGCCAATCAGATTATGTCAGAGGCAGTCCCTCTTCCCATTACTATTTAACCCACTTGGACACTAAACTGCCATGGGCTACATCTGTGCAGGGGTTCTAGGTTATCTCCATGCGTGGTACTTGGTTGGGGTATGATTCCCTGGGAAGACCCCTGTGTTCAAATTTTCTGGTTCTGTTGCTCTCCTGGTGGGGTTCCTGTTCTCTCCAGATCTTACTATTTCCCACTTCTTATAAAAGATTCCATGCACTCTCCCCAACAGTTGGCCATAAGTCTCAGCGTCTGCTTTGATAGTCTGCAGGGCAGAGCCTTTCAGAGGCCCTCCACACTCTTAATTT